ATTGCCTAAACAGATAAAATCCTATTTTTTTGTCGTTTTTGTGAGTTTTGTGTATATGGTAGGATAGTATCAGGGCGTTTCCTGGGATTGTAATACATCTTAGGGGGGATGTTTTAGGCTTTTTAGAGGCAAGTGGAGGGTAATTTTATATCCTTCTGTCAACAACTTGAGACATGATGCTTGGGGAAAAACGTTAATTCCATATCCCCCATATGCTTTTTCCCCCCACCCTTTTCAATCTGTGTGATTAATATCTTTTTAAAGTTGGAAATTTCTTTGAAAGTTTTTACAATGCTGATGAATTTGTTGAAGAAACCTTGATAAATAATTAAGGAGAGATTAGCAGATTATGGCGCGACAAAAAACAAAAACTGTCAAAACAAAAAGTTTAATACTTAAAGTTGCAAAATGAAACTTTTTTTACGCAACTAATATTTATACAATATATTATAATGTTGATTATAAACCCGGAATTTAAGCGGCAAAACTCAGTTCATACTCGACTTAAGATTGAAAACTGTGCTTAAGATTAAATTTTGGCAGATTTGGAGAATTCTAATCCGATTGAAGGGGAAAATCGGAATCCTTAAAAATACCAAACTATATCTAATCTATTATTAATATTCAATCCTATTGGCTTCTTGCTGCAGAATACAGGGTGAATTAATACTTAAATATTAGCCTCTATATTAAACACATGTGAAAGTCTGAAATGGGGGTTTCTGCACACATTTATTGCTAAGGCTCAATCACGTAATAAACTGCACATATTTCTCAAGAACCAATTTAGAATTTAGTAAACTATACTAAACACATTGATTCTCTAAACACATTGATTCTCAAAAATTAACATGTTAATTAATCAATATTTGTTTATTAATAACTTCTTCAAAGAAATTCTCTCACGCGCAATACAAAAAGTGTGTAAAAATGAGCTAGTTCAAAAATGTCATTCTCTGTTATATTTTAGTTGTTTATTTATACTCAAATATATAATATTTGGTTGAAAATTTTAGATTAGTGCCATGTTATAAAATTTTGATTTTATGGATTTTTCATCTACTATAATTTTTTACAGCTAATATAATTCTTATGTTGGTCATTGGACAAGTATAAAGTTATTAAAAAAATAAAGAACAGCAACGGTTTTAAAATACAAATTTTGATTCAATTTTGGCGGATTTTCTACATTTAAATTGCGTATTTTAAAGCTTTCCCCAAAATTTGGGTCAACCGCCTAATTTCTTTTAGTTTTGTTATATTCTCAATTTAGATATTAGGGTTAAGAAAAGTAAAATTATCTTTTTACCAAATCTGTCTTTTTCCTTCCAAGAATTAGTTCCAGATATGCCGTATTTTAGTTCATGTTTACAACTGGATAGGGATGGAAGAANTAGGGGTCAAAATTTTAGGTATTTTCTTGTGAGGATTGGTTTGGGTAGCGTTACAGCTGGCTCCAAAGCAATTAAATCCCTATCTGATTTTTGTCCAACGCTACTGTGCTCTTTCGAGCTAAAATTGACAGGTTATAAAGCTTACTATAGAAAATAGTTAAAGCAAAGATTTCGAAGATAGAACGAAATATTTGTTTCATATTAGTTAAAGAACTTTTTTAAAATCTACATACTTCTCTTTTCCTATCTGTAAAATCTGTGGGGTGAAGATATATAATAGATATAGGGGAACCTTACACCTGGTTTTTAGGTCTTCTTCATGCGGGTCTGTCAATTCAAATTTATGTGCCCCTCCTATTCCCATAGCTACCCCTATTTACTATGTTTTGTTTTAATTAGACTGCAAATCCCCCCATGAGATTTTATATTTTAANTCGAGAGTATAAGTTAACAAAAAGAGAAGTCTGTTTTCACAGTAGTATAAATATTTTAATTTTAGGAAAAAAAGCATCCCCTATATACAAACAAATTGATAAAAATAAACAATGTCTGGAGGTCTGTCTGTTTCCAGCTGTCCCGCATATATATATATATATATAGGTGTCTGTCAATGCACAGCTGTCTTTCTACAAAACTGTCGCTTAACCAGATATAAAATTTTTAAATATTTTAATATTACACTTTACAAACATTGCTAAAAAAATCTAAAATCCAAAGAGCTAAAAAAGTATAGAGTGTAAAAATGACATTATCAATTTAGTGCCCCGATACAATAAAACTATCAAATGAAATAGATAGATCCCATTTAAAATACATTTCCCTTCAGAATCCTTGCCAAATATTTAATGAGTTTAAATTCTTGAATCCATCTCAAATTAATTAAACAATTGGTAGATTTATTAATTAATTAATTAATTATTTGCGGGCAAATCTTGATCTTTTGATTTTAGAATCATATCAATTTTAAAAAAAATTAGAATTTTTAAAAATTATTAAGTTCCTCTTTTGACTTTGCAGAAAGTTCTCTAGAGATTTTTAAAAAAACCTAGAATTGGTTGGTCAATCCTAGGTTGGTTGGTCATATCTGTTCTTTTAATATTGTTTCAGAAGAAAATTGTGGAGGGGGTATTTTGACATTGAGTTCGAAAAAGTAGATTGATAAATTTATTCTTCTTTCAGAAGTGTTAGATGTTTCTATACATATCTATCTATCTATCTATCTATTGATCTATCTATCTATCTATCTATTTTATCTATCTCTATATCTATCTATGATCTATTTATGTGTATGTGTAGGAGTAAGTATAGGAACATGCATCGCTGTACAAAAGAAATCTGAAGGAAAATATGGGAGTCCAAATTAAATAAGATGTCTAGCCTTAGACAGATAAATAGATAGATAAAAAGACAGATATAAATAATATAAATATAAGGGTTACTTACTGATAAATAGATAGATAGATAGATAGATAGATAGATAGACAAACAAAATATATATTTATATATATATATGTATTTGTTGTATTTTAGTCAGAATGTAGGTATTGTCAGAAAGATTGAAAAAATATTTGAAATAAATAAAGATAGATAAATAGATATGATGTTGAACCACGAAAAATTAAACTTAAATATTTCAAAGTATTGATTAGGATATTAACCGGAATGTTTCTCTTAATACAAATGTTTTTATCCACCTGAAAATACAATAGATAAATGAAATAAATGAATAAAATAAATGAATGAAATGAATGAAATAAATGAAATATAAATGAATAAGATAAATGAAATGTGAAAGTTAATATTCAAGGCTTGAACTAATTCTTACTTTTAGAGTTCTTGAGAAGAACAAAAATATTGAACCAAATAAATTATTTTTACATAAAATTATAGCTTTAAAAACTACGAGGTCAGAAAGTCGTAGCAGTAATGTTGCATAGTAAAGAATGTTTGATTTTTATATAATATCACCCAAACATAAATTTTTAAGTATAAATGTTTAAGAAAAGATAAAATCCATAAAAATGTTTAAGTTTTATTAATTGAAGTTTGCACTTAGAGAAATGAAGAGGTAAAAGGAAAAAGATTTATTCTCCGGTTCTCAAAATATTTTCATCCTTTAAAGGGACTGTATGCAAGTTTTAAAAGTGACTTAAAGTGACAATATTGATATTTATTTTCAGCATTGACAGACAGTTTGTTATTTTACTATCGAAATCTGTGCTTTTTTGCTTTGATTTTTTGGTTTCTTTTAATTTAGCATACAATCCCTTTAACTTTAATATTTTGATGTAACATGTGTTCGCGGTATGGGATGATAAATATCCTTCGGTTGGAGGTTCAGGTTTCAAGCTTCCAAGGGACATAGGAGTCAGTTGACGAGGCTAGGACGGTTTCTAGACCAGGGGGTTTCAGGGGATACTACAGGTTTCAGGGGATGAGAAGGCGGTTTAGAGGACATTTCAGGTTTCAGGGGATGCATAGGATTCTGATTGAGTTGAGTAGGGGTTATCAACGAAAGATGATTTGATGATTTTTAAGTGACTAATTTGTATAATATTAATAATATTTTTCAAATCAAGAATTTATTGAGTAATGTTTTCTTACGGGTTACATATGTTTGAGGGGAGGGTAGAGGGGGGTATAGAGATTCAGAATTCGATATTACAATCTGGTTGAGTGCCAACAATCTGTCAACTCGTGGTGTCACCATTTTCACCAATTAAAACTTGCTTCAATGGTATTTTGTTAACGTATTTTGTTGCCACATTTTTATCCAGAAGGGTGCAGGTAAATTTGAAGTGAAATTCGGCAATTTTTCTGTAAAAATTACGAACACTCCCTTTAAGCTTAAGAGAATTGGCGGAGTGGGGATTGGGAATCAAAGGATAAAGCGTTTGTGAATATATATTTGTAAATGTATAAGACGAGACCTTCAATCCTTGGGACGGATATCGTATTCCTTCGATCATTTCATCTTGACTTCACCCATATTATAAGTTAACAAAAAGAGAAGTCTGTTTTCACAGTAGTATAAATATTTTAATTTTAGGAAAAAAAGCATCCCCTATATACAAACAAATTGATAAAAATAAACAATGTCTGGAGGTCTGTCTGTTTCCAGCTGTCCCGCATATATATATATATATATAGGTGTCTGTCAATGCACAGCTGTCTTTCTACAAAACTGTCGCTTAACCAGATATAAAATTTTTAAATATTTTAATATTACACTTTACAAACATTGCTAAAAAAATCTAAAATCCAAAGAGCTAAAAAAGTATAGAGTGTAAAAATGACATTATCAATTTAGTGCCCCGATACAATAAAACTATCAAATGAAATAGATAGATCCCATTTAAAATACATTTCCTTGACACGATCTTTATTATTCAATGATGTTTACACTTCCCAAGGTTTGAAAGGAGGGGAGGGGGGAAATTAGTACCCCCCCCCCGACCATTTTTTTTCGACTTCTGAGCCGGAGAGTTAAAATCAGAGATTTATTAGAGAAATTATAGTTTGAAAAATAAGTTCTCAAATAGTAATTATTCATGCATGCGTGAGTAGAGCTAAGCGGAAGGGGGGGGGAGGTTTGATCAAAAAGGTATGGTTTGGGTAGATGAAGGAGGAGGGGGGAAGGTCGATGGTAGCAAACATGCAACTCTTTAAATCATCCGTGAACTGCATGATGAAAACATAACTTATAAGATTGGGGTTGATGCCCCCTCTCTTCTTCTCTACATAATCTCAGCATACCCCCCCCCTCCCCATTTTTTTATCTCTAAATTCGAAATTCTTAAATATTTAAAGAATTTCATTTTAAATCAGGAATAAAATCCAACTGAACGATAAATTTGATTAAGTTCTCTAATTTTACTCAGGGTATATAAGGAAACTGGCAGGACTTAAGTCTATATCTTCTCAGGGTATAAAAGGGAACTAAAGCAAGGTTTTCTATCTAATATTTCTCCGGGTTTAACCGAGGACTAGCAAGGTTTTATCTCTAATATTTCTTAATCTTGACCGAGAACTAGCAAGGTTTAATCTCTTATATTTCTCAGTGTATAACCGAGGACAAGCAAGGTTTAATCACTAATATTTCTCAATGTATAACCGAGAACTAGCAAGGTTTATTCTCCAATATTTCTCAGTGTGTAACCGAGGACAAGCAAGGTTTAATCACTAATATTTCTCAGTGTATAACCGAGTACTAGCAAGGTTTATTCTCCAATATTTCTCAGAGTATAACCGAGGACTAGCAAGGTTTAATCTCTAATATTTCTCAGGGTATAACCGAGAGCTGCCCGGGTTCAAGCGGTACTCAGTAGTGGGTACAGATGAGAGCGGAGTATTCAATCTTCAAATCTTGAATTCAACTTTGCAAGATGAAGCAGAATACGAATGCCAGGAATATAATCAAACCAAACTCATATTCAAATTTGATTTTTTTTTCTCACTTTTTTCATACAGTGATAACCAGAAAACTCTGGTATAGTTATAGCAATTAGTTTATTTGATGTTGTTACTAAGCAAATAGTTTTATTATACACTTATTTAATCCTTAATCAAGTGCAATAGGCCTGTTTACAATGAACTATAGCTGTGTCTCATGTTCATTGGACTTTTTAAAGTTAAAACTGGACTCTCAAGTCATCTTCCTATTTCAGATTTTTTTCTGGGTATCACCGTATCAAACAAATTATTGATTTTGATTCTCTTTGCACTTGAATTTTCTATTAAAATGGTGATTTGTCCAATATTTTATCTGTATACTCGCATATAGGAAAATATAGAAATATGAAACAAATATATATATATTCAATATTCATGATATTGCTTTACTCGGGTTACCAAAAGTACATATTTTATCCTTTGTCACATCTTAACCTTCTTTCTAAAAATAGTTATTGCGTATTTTCCTTAAAATATTATAGTATTATATTAGTCACTAATTCAAAATGAAATTAATCTAACGGGAATGCCAAAGTTAGTTTAAAAAATAACCTTTTCAATCTTAATTTTCCAATTATTCAAATTATTTTGCAAATATACATTTTGTTGATACAAAACAGTCCTCCTCCTCCCATAGTAAATATAAGTATGATTATTATGATAGGTTGGTCCTAACGGAACTAACAAAGCTATCAGAGAATCTGCAAGACTTCATGTGTTATGTAAGTAAATAAGTGAGTGAGTGAGTGAGTGAGTGAGTGAGTGAGTGAGTGAGTGAGTGAGTGAGTGAGTGAGTGAGTGAGTGAGTGAGTGAGTGAGTGAGTGAGTGAGTGAGTGAGTGAGTGAGTGAAAAACAAACCTGAAGCTGAAATCTCAGATAAAGTTCCCAGTTTATGTATCTGTCAATCTATCAATCAAACCTAAACTGGGACTAATTTCAAACCATTCAGGCATTTATCAATTCATCAATTCATCAATTCATTAATTTATCAATTCATCAATTCATCAATTCACCAATTCATCAATTCACCAATTCACCAATTCATCAATTCATCAATTCATCAATTCATCAATTCATCAATTCATCAATTCATCAATTCATCAATTCGTCAATTCATCAATTCATCAATTCACATATTCATCAATTCACCTATTCATCAATTCACCTATTCATCAATTCATCAATTCATCAATTCATCAGTTCATCAATTCAACAATTATAAAATGAATTTGTTTAGTGCCCCCGACCAAAGCAGAATTTGTTGGATATTCCTCTGGTTCTCAGCTTGTTGTCCAGGTAGAAATATTTCCTATATTTTAATCTTAATATCAAATTTTGTAAAAATTTCGTAGATTTTTATTTTTAAATGTGGAATTTTAAAAATTACGAAACAAAATTATTTTCTCATTTCCGCACCGCTCTTTATTACAATAAATTCACCTAAGAGTTTATTAAATTTAATATATTATTAAAAAGTAACAATGGAGAATATTGCAGATTTTTCTTTTGGTTTTTAAGAAATTTTCCTTAGGGGTTATGTAATGGTAACAAAAATGAATAAACTGGTTTATTTAATTTAGAATAAAGAATGCCATTGAAGATGAAAAAACATAAATGAAACGCTATAAAGAATAAATGATGAATGATACGGTATAAAGGATAAATAATAAATGAAACGCTATAAAGTTTGAATGATGAATGAAACAGTATAAAAGATGAATAATAAATGAAACGCTATAAAGTTTGAATAATAAATGAAACGGTATAAAAGGATGAATAATAAATAGAACGGCATAAAGTAGGATTTATAATGAATGAAACGGTTTAAAGGATGAATAATAAATAAAACGGTATAAAAAAGGACAAATGATGAATGAAAACGGTACGTATAAAGGATGAATAATAATAAAACGGTATAAACTAGAATGAATGTATCTAGGAGAACGAAGATATTGAGTTGAGCTGTAGGGTTGAAGACGCTAAACCTAAACCAGATATTATCTGGTATATCGGTGGCGTAGAAATCACTAAAGGTAGGACAACTTTTTTTTAGATTTATGAAAGATTCTGATTATTTTAACTACTTCTGGGCTTCCTAAAAAACCGGTCAATTTGGTCCAGCCGTTTCACCAGTTATAACACTATCATATATATATGAGCGAAGAGCTTTATTATAATGTAATAGTTTCAAAAAGAGCTCTGACAAAAGTTGAAGAAGATTTATGGAATAGGGTGAAAATTCTAAATATACGGAGACAAGGGTAGTTAGTTGAGATTTAGCAGGAAGATTAGGTCATAGTTAAAAGATATATAGATACATAGACAGATAGACAGATAGACAGATAGGTAGATAGACAGATAGACAGATATACATATATAGAGATAGACAGATATACAGATAGATAGATAGACAGATAGACACATAGACAGATATAGAGATAGACAGATAGACAGATAGACAGATATACAGATAGACAGATAGACAGATAAACAGATAGACAGATAGACAGATAGACAGATAGGTAGATAGACAGATAGACAGATAGACCTTTAAACTGATAGAAAAAAATTCAAAAAAATCATTGAGCCACGGAGAAATTGTAGAAATGGTAGGATCATGCAATATAAAAAATCTAAAGATTTCTATAGGATTGAAGATCCAAGAGAAACTGTAGGATTACAGGATCAAGAAAAACTGTAGGATTACAGGATCAAGAGAAACTGTAGGATTAAAGGATGAAGAGAAACTGTAGGATTAAAGGACCAAGAGAAACTATAGGATTAAAGGACCAAGAGAAACTGTAGGATTGAAGGATCAAGAGAAACTGTATGATTAAAGGATCAAGAGAAACTGTAGGATTAAAGGATGAAGAGAAACTATAGGATTAAAGGATCAAGAGAAACTGTAGGATTAAAGGATCAAGAGAAACTGTAGGATTAAAGGATGAAGAGAAACTATAGGATTAAAGGATCAAGAGAAACTGTAGGATTAAAGGATGAAGAGAAACTATAGGATTAAAGGATCAAGAGAAACTGTAGGATTAAAGGATCAAGAGAAACTGTAGGATTAAAGGATCAAGAGAAACTGTGGGAAGAAAAGAGAGAAGGACGGAAGAAGAAAAATCATAAAACCATTTTCTTAACATTTAACCCCGGCCACTAAATCTCCATCATGCTTCCGCCATTTTTTCTCAATATGAAATCTACGCGGCAAATTTTAAAGTTTCTGCGCGGCTCTCATCGCAAATTTTAAAAAGTTTCTGTGCTCGGAAACACGCGGAAACGATTTTGCGTTGCATGCACAGTTTTGGAGGAAGCTAAAACATTTGCAAAAAAATCCATTTCGAGTTTCTGCAATTTAAACTGGGGCAAGAGGGGTTAGTTGGGTTAAAATTGCCTGCGGTGGTGCCAGACGGATTCTAAAGGAAAATAATTATTATATTTTTGGTAATTATATGTAGATATTTAGTTGTTTTACCTTAAATACTTTATTTTAGATCTTTAGTTTGAGTTTTCAAATATTTTTTAAAGATTTTGAAATTTAAGGTAAACAAGATCAATTATTTTATGATAATTTTGCATAACCTTAAATACAGAAATTAGATTAATTATCATAAAAAAGATATTTTAACAGAATAATAGATAATAGAGATATACACAAATAGATAGATTAACGAAGCTATGAAATTATGGATAAGATAAATAGATAAAAAGAAAGAAAGATAGATAGATAGAAGGATAGAAAGATAAAAGGATAGATAGATAGATAGATAGATAAATAGATAGATAGATAGATAGATAGATAGATAGATAGATAGATAGATAGATAGATAGAAGGATAGATAGACAGGTAGAAGTACAGATAGATAGAAGGATAGATACATAGACAGATAGATAGAAGGACAGATAGATAGAAGGATAGATAGATAGATAGATAAATAGGTAGATAGACAGGTTGACAGATAGATAGATAGATAGATAGATATATAGTTAGATAGATAGATAGATAGATAGATAGATAGATAGATAGATAGATAGATAGATAGATAGATAGATAGATAGATAGATAGATAGATAGATAGATAGATAGATAGATAGATAGATAGATAGATAGATAGATAGATAGATAGATAGATAGATAGATAGGTTGACAGATGATTAGAAAACTAGGATTGAATCATGTCTCTGATACAAACTCAAGAAAAAGTTTTGATGCAAAAAAACTGCAAAAGTTTCAAAAGTTTTTTTAATCATGCTCGGGAAGGAAAGAAAATCAGAAACAGAAAAGGTTTAGAAGAATTTTCAACCCTGTCCTTCGAGACCTTTCCCCTTTCCCAGGCCCCTTTGAACAAGCCCCCCTGCCANCCCCCCCCACTGCCTGAATCTCAGGCAGTTTTACAATTACAAAACCGCAAGGAGGCTTTTAACCCGACCCAAGGAAAACACGTTGTTAAAATGTGTCAAAAAAATCTATGGAAAATTCAAAAATGATTTCATAAAAGTTCACAGAATATTAAAACCCAGGCAATTTAAATCAAATGAAAAATTGTAGAAACAAATTTTTTGAAATTATTATTTTTGGACAAACTTTTGCCAGATTATATTGAAGAGGTCATATAGACGCCGACAGGCCACCGTGGTTAGTAGAATATATAGATAGATAGGTATAACTAGTATTATTATGGCAATTGAAAATATTTAGAGTTGGTGGTTTTGCAGTGAAAACATGGTTAAATGCTTTTAGAGTTGGGGGNCCCCCCAACAAAAAATATTTATTATGTTGGATTTCAGGGGATACGCATTTTTTTGTTCTTTAATTTAAAATGGAGGGTTAAGACACCACTACCCAAGCCCCCCCCCCTCTCTTCAGGATGCTAGGGGGCCTGGATTCGATGATAAAATAACATATTCCGTTTGTTGACAAAGCATTCTTGAATTTTACATTTCCGAGTCAACGGAAAATCATTTTCCCGACTTTGAAGTCGTCAAGAAAACAGGAGGAAATCTATTTCGAGAAAATTTTCCATTTTCCAGACAAATAATTTAAAATTTTTATTTTTGCAGTCATTTTTTGTTTGTTTAATTTTTACATTGTTTTGTTTACGATTACATATTTGCATCTTTAGCTGTGAAAGATTAGAAAAATATGTTTCTATTCCAAATAAGTCCGTTGTTTGTAAAGGCTTGTGTGTTTATACGACATTCGAAATTTATTATATTATTCAATGTAATTTTAAACTTTTGTCCGAGGAGATATTTGTCTAAATTTTATCCAGAATATTTTGCTTAAAATTGCAAAGGACAGAAGCTCGCCCGAATATTTAGAATTTTAACCGTTTTAATTTTACAAAATTTTGTGGAAAATATTAAAAGTTAGCCTGGCTGAAAGCTGTATATCTCTGGATATGAATCATATTTCAGTTTAAAAACTAAGTTAATTATCTCCCAGGGCCCCTGTTTACTTCGCTAATAATATCCTGGGGTTGAAAACTTGAAAACGCTCGTTAAGTCATCTCGTAAATTTATTTAAATTCACTTTTTAAACAATACGATATTTAGATGAAAAAAATGGCGTCAATGATTAGATTTTAATCAAGTGGTTCACTGTTTATTGTACCCTACTCTTTCCTAAATTGTCTTGAATTTACGCCCCTTTCCCCCTCCCCCTTCCCACTAAATCTAAATCCAAGAAATCCTTGAATATTCCAATCTTCATTCTTCGCGAATTTTCAATTCTCAGATATTCTAAAAGTCTCCATTTCTATCGGTTTACATGTCAATCCAGTATCCGTAACTTTCACATTTAGACTATTAAACTTTTATTCCTCTCATAGGAAAAAGGTTTAAGGGATAAAATGCGCAATTCTATTTTTCGTACTTTTATGTAAATGTGGCGCGACATCATGGGATTTTTAGAAACGCATAAATTCTTCAAACCTCTTTTTCATATGCAAATTCTTAAATGCATTATTGAGAACACATTTATGTATTAGTATGTTTATTCAAATAAATGTAGATTTCCAAGAAGAGGTTTTGTTTATTTATTAAAAATAGAAAATTGTTTACAAATCTAAATCTCACGGAACGATAGATACATCTCAATTCTGTATTTCAAGGTATGGAGAGGGGCGGGTGGCTGCCCCTCCCCTTTCAATGATTTATAACCGCCACCCCGCCCACAAATTATACAAAATAGTTTTAGGCTATATCTTCTCTACTTTTGTTTTCCATTCTCTAAACTTCCTCCCCCCCCCCTCCTTCATCTTTATAGTGCAAAAATTAAATTGCAATGTCTTGTAAATTTAAGATTTCGCGCATAAATGTTGTTTAAAATGGATGAATTTTTTTTGCAAACGATGATAAACCGTAGATTAGCAATTTGTTTTGCAAAATTTTCATGTATAACATAAAAAAATTAGAAGATACAACCCTGAATTCCCCCCCTTTACCCTCCAGTCATCCCTCCCCACTCCGGCCTCCCCCGTTCTCATCTTCAAAACCGATATAAAATCATTAATTTAAACGTTGCCCATTTTGGCTAATGGATATTTATTATTTAGGTATTCAGCCCTCTCTTCCATTTATGGTGTATGTACGAACAATTTTAAAGCATCTGTTTTCTATCTGTCTCTCTGTTTTCTATCTGTCTCTCTGTTTTCTATCTGTCTCTCTGTTTTCTATCTGTCTCTCTGTTTTCTATCTGTTTCTGTAAAATCTATCTGTCTGTGTTTAATCTATCTGTTTGGTATCTATATATCTATTTCTGTAATATCTATCTGTCTTTTTTATCTAACTGTTTGGTTGCTGTTTCCTTACCAATCTGTGTATGTTCTACCTTTTTGTCTGTTTTCCGTCGTATCTGTTTTAACATTTCTGTCTGTCTGTCTGTCTGTTCTTTATATTTCTTCCTGTTTTTGTGTTTGTTCAAAACGGAAACCCACTAGATCAAAAGAAATAAATCATTCCGTCATAATTTGTTGATATTCTCTGTTACATTTTTTGTTTTCTTGATTCCTCGTACTTCTTGGATATTGCTGTTTCTTCTTATCTATAACCAGCAACACCAAAATGATCCTCTCTCTCGAATTCGGCTATCAGTCCTATTATTATATACAAAGTATTTCCGTATTTAGGTAGAAATACATTAGGTTACAGGAGATATCGGGGATAGGTAATAAATACGTTTAATGATTTGATATACAGGGGGATTCATAGAAAAAACTTTAACATACTTTATGTCAAAAAATAATATATGCAGTCATGAAGACAAATCATATCGTACAAATAAAAAATGCATTTTTGTAGAAATAAAAAAAATGTGAATTTGATGTTTGCAACAATCAAAATAGAAAATAGACTATTATTGAAAATTTAGACATTTATCTGGCCAAACGGCTGGACTAAATTGGCTAAATTTCTTTTTTTTAAAATTCATAAGTGTTTTAAAATTCTACGGGCAACGCCAGGCACTTCAGCTAGACTTACTTAAGAAAGAATATATACATGATTTATCAATATCTTTAAAACTAGACATCATCATATGTAAGCTATCAATGATGTATAAGGATATTAATTATTATTAATTAGTCTAATCAGTTTGGATTAGTGAATAGTATAGAATTGAGATAAGCATATTAAGAGTATTCTGATAATTCAAGACATACTAATATATTATGCAGACCATACAGGGGTAAACATCCTAATATATTATACTGACCATACAGGGGTAAACATAAAAACATTTTTCAGAAAAAAAATTACCAAAAAAATTAATATGATTTTTCAGAAATAAAAAAATTTTCCCAAAAAATTTTATAATTTTTCATAAAAAAAAAATTATCAAAAAATTAAATAAGTTTTTAATATAAAAGTCCCAAAAAAAACTTAAATAGCATTTGATGCCACTGTATGTGTGTAGGTTAATGGAAATGTTTCTAAGCTTTGTATTTGTTGGTGTCCATAAATCATAATATTGTCAAGTTTATCATCAAATACATCTTCATAAGTGGATTTATTCAACAACATTAGGAAAATGGAGGGGGGGGGGGGTTGTAACTTTGTTTAGACCTGGGGGGGAGAGTTCAGATATGTTTTTCACAACGGTAAAATGTTTTAGTGTATCCTTATTTTTATTTTTATGTGTGTTTTTAATGTTCTCAAACGAGTGGTTTGAGAAGGGTTTAATGTATCCTAAGCTTGGCTAGTTTCAATTTATCTTCGACAGGGTGTCCCGGGAAGAAAAGTAGACAATATTTGTTAACACATTAATTTGATATGTCTTAGTCTTATTTTTTATGGACACCCTTTGGTCAGATCAAAGATTTATTGTTTTTTGGTGGTGGAAAGGTTTTTTTTTGGTTCAACCTTCTCAGTAAATCAAAACCTTTCCAAGTTCTTACTCAAGTTCTGGAGATATGTCTTATATACACTTGGTGCCTGTCTTAAAAACAAACAGATAAAACAACAAGCAGACAAATAAAAACTTAAACATTAAAAGAAATGTAAAAAAAAAATATGAAACGAGTTTTACCACACAAAAGTACAAATAAAATAGAAAAAGTAATCGATTAAAGTTAGAAATTATCTAAAAATATTATTTAATCTTTAGGTCGCCGAGAGGATGTGGAAGAGAAGGGATCAACGGATCGACGAATTACTGTTTCGTCGACGATTCGTTTTCGTCCAACTGCTGTGGATAACTTGAAGACGATTGCGTGTGAGGCTCAGCATCCCGCGCTTACTGGAGGCGCCCTCACTGCATCTTTGCAAATATTTGTTCAATGTAAGCAAAACTTTTTGATTTCATTTTTGCAAATATTTAGTGTTTTCGCCAAGTTTGTTTACTTTCTAAAGTATAAGATGAAGTTTCGCAAACTTATATAATTATCTTGTTACCTAAATCTTAAAGGAAACGTCGACAAAAGATTAAGTTCAATATTGTAAAAATCTGCGAATCAGCAAAATCAGTAATTAATAAAGAATATTTCTTAAGTTATATAATTTCTAGTTGGTAACTTCAATTTATGTCAAATATCTTTTAAACTAAATGTTTCCAATTATTTTGCTTTTAACTTTTCAAATCCATCTAATCAGATTATTTCTTTGACAACTTTTTCCCTGTTAAAAATTGGGTTTGTTCCCGGACCTGGTCCCCATAAAATAAAACCAATAGTCTCTAGACATGCAAGTTCACTCCATAAATAATACTTTCTCTAACCAATTAATCATTTTCCTCATACACACTTTTCCAGCATAATTGACTGTCCTGTCAAATAAAATATCTCTTTTTAAATAAAAGTTTTAATTTGTTTACATAGTGCAGTACATATATTATGCTCAAATGCACCGTAATTTTCTACTTTTTTGTATCTATATATTTCTAGACCCCCCTGGACACCCTGTGATAACTGGATACACCCCTGGAGAGCCTATAAAAAAGGGGTCTAGGGTATCCCTATCTTGTAAATCGGAGGGGGGCAACCCCCCTGCCACCCTTACCTGGTACAGGGAAGGGGAGAGGATAGATAGTTCATATACTGATCTAGAGGATGGGTCAACCAATACATATGAGTTCATTGCTCAGGTGAATAGTAAATACAGAAAATATGATGCATACATACATATAACAAATAGTGCATATTAAAATGTTAATCTGTTAACCTGAAAACCTCTGAACCCCAACCTTTAAAACCTTACCCTCTAAACCTGACCCTCTTAACTTCAACCTCTAAACTTTAACCTCTAAACCTCAACCTCGAAACCTCAAACTCTAAACATCAACATCTAAACCTCAACCTCTTAACCTCAACCTCTAAACTTACCTCTAAACCTCAACCTCTAAACCTCAACCTCTAAACCTCAACCTCTAAACCTCAACCTCTAAACCTTAACCTCTAAACCTCAACCTCTAAACATCAACCTCTAAACCTCAACCTCTAAACCTAAACCTCTAAACCTCAACCTCTAAACCTCAACCTCTAAACCGCAACCTCTAAACCTCAGCCTCTAAACCTCCACCTCTAAACCTTAAACTTTAAACATCAACCTCTAAACCTTAAATTCTAAACCTCTAAACCTGTAAACCCTTTATATTACAGGCTAAGGATAACAATGCAGTGTATACATGCTCGGCTTCTAATGATCTTATTAAGACCCCTCTGCAGGCTGATATTAACATCCAAGTACTATGTAAGTAGAACAATTTAATAGGGAATTAAGGCCGAGTGGGATTTTAATGATGAGGATGAGAGGGGGGGGGGGATTCATGATTTTGAGATGGGATTTATAAGTTTTATTCTAAATTGGGTTTTGAAAAAGTTAAGCAATAAGAGATGCAAGAAGGCTTCTTTATGGAATTGGGTTCTCCTTCTACGAGCCAAGGAAGTGGTTCCGGTTTATTGCAAGGGGGGGGGGGGGGGTCGAATGTTAGTGGGTTAGGAAGTCGTGAAAATTAATGAATGCAAATATGAGCTCCTGAATGCAGAAACAGGGTCTATAAAGGCCCCTTACCACCATTTTTCAGAGGTTTCACTCTAATCCGCAATCAAAATCTAATCTTAAGTATAATGGATTTATATCAAAAGATGGAAGATGGAAAATTTGAAATGTGGACCAGGGGTGGGGGGTGGGGGTTAATAAAAATAGGGTGGGGGTGAAAAATGAAATTTAATTGAATACATCAGTTTTTGTCTTATGTGGGCGAACAGTGATTAAACTTTTGACTTGGATGAATTAAAAGATGAAATCGATGAAATATGGAGAGAATGGAGGAGGGGGGGGGGGGGCAGTTTAAAATTAATTCACATCTGCTTCATTGTTAGAATCAAAATTAAATCTTGAAAAATTTGATAAGAAATTTCTTTTCTCGTTTAATTAATTCTAAGAACGAAAAAAATTTCTATTTCTAACAATTTATATGTGTTAGATGGTCCTGAGGAGGTTCGAATAATCGGTGAATCTGAAGCTCGAGCTGGCGACCTACTCTCTTTCGAATGTGTCACCTCGGATTCGAACCCGCCTGTGGATGTCTGGTGGGTCGTTGACGGCCGGGCAGTCCAGGTATTTGATAACTGTCAATTTTTTAACAATCCTTGGTTTTAAACCTTTTTGTAAAATCGTTGGTTGTGTATATTCTTTTAATAAAATCCTTGGGTTTATGTATCCTTAAGCAGTATCATTGGGTAAATCTCCTTTTTATGTTATTCTTGTTAAATTATCCTTGTTGACGAATTACTGTTTCGTCGACGATTCGTTTTCGTCCAACTGCTGTGGATAACTATATCTCTGGATATGAATCATATTTCAGTTTAAAAACTAAGTTAATTATCTCCCAGGGCCCCTGTTTACTTCGCTAATAATATCCTGGGGTTGAAAANATTCTTGTTATATTCTCCTTGTATATTATCCTTGTTATATTCTCCTTGTTATCTTATTTTTGTTATATTCTCCTTGTTATATTCTCCTTGTTATATTCTTCTTGTTATATTATCATTGTTATATGCTCTTCTCCTCTCCTTGTTATATTATCATTGTTATATTCTCTTCTCCTCTCCTTGTTATATTATCCTTGTTTAGTTATATATTTCCTTCGATTAAGAACTCTGAAAGACTTGTAACCTTAACATTTAAACTCTTCCTGTTCCTCCCTCACCCAACAACCTCCACCTCCCCCCTCACAACCTTCCCCCCTCCAACCTTCCCTTTTTCCTAATTTGTTTTCCTTTTCCTTGTTCCTTTCTTTCTTTTTCTTTCTTCTCAAACTGTTTATCATCTACCTTCTTCCCCTGAAAAGGAGGGGGTGGTGTCCGCCCCTGCTGAGAAAATTGAAAAAGGGAAATTGAAACAAATATATTTTATTTCTTGAGCTGATCCCTGTATCTCCTGATATATACTCTGTTTCTCCGAACTTCCGATCCAATCCTAGGTCTAATCCATCAATTCCTTCTGTACACTCACATCTTTCAATATTCAATCCACATTCTAGAATTCCTAGCTGGAGCAGATCTTTAATCCCTGATAATTCCGAAGTTTCATCCTAAATGCTGTTTCCAATCCCGCTCTCTTCAAACTTTCATTGCATTTCATCAGGAATAATAATTCAAACTTTAATCATATTCTTGATTCAAACCTTACAAAGACTTTAAAGCGACAAGCGACCCTATTTTTAAAGCGCGGGTTTTATTCAATTCACTACGGTACCCTTTAAGCCTATCCTCTTTTTCTAGCTAGCTTTTTCGAAATCTCAACTAAAAATAATCAATTTTCAAAGTTAAAAACATGAATATCTCATTTATTCTTGATGATGAAAGTCCTCAAGAGTACTGTTGTGAATCGGACATGCCATTCTAGCAATGGAGGTTCACTGTAAATTCCGTCTACAGTTCCTTTAATCTTCCTTGTCTTTTATCCCACTCTGGTCAATTTCCTTAGAGAGTTTGTAGAACGTGTTCACTATAAACCTTCTCTTCACCACCATCAATCACCTCCCATCTGTATTCTATAGAATTCCACTAGAGGATACAGAAAACCTTAGTATCTATAAATCCTTGCTCTATAATCTGTCCAGAACACAAGCTTAAAGAACATTATTCATTTTTCAATCAGCATTTTAAAACTTTTCGCGGATGTTCAACTCTCTCTTAAAATTTTCTTCATGTCGCTTTAAAGAACTTTTTTTTACCTACGAATATCAATTTAAAAAAATCTAATTTCTAATGTTTTAGGGAAATCATACCCGGACACTTGCCTCCGAGGGTAGCGGAGGTTGGTTTACAAGAACCAATATAACTGTTCGGATCGGAGCCAGGGATACAGCCAAGAATATTCAGTGCCATGCAGTAAATCAGGCAGTTGGAGAAACTAAAGTTCAAACCCACACTGTTGGAGTTTTATGTAAGTATTTTTTGCTAAAAATTCATAGAGCTTCACGCCTTCAAATTTTCTGTAGATTGTGAAATTCCGGAACTTTAGAGTCATCAAATGATAATAAATACATAGCCGGTGGGCGCTATTTGTGTTCATTATTATTCAATAGAAGATTCATTATTAACTATTTGATGAGGTTATCAAATCAATTTATCAATAGGTTTGCAATACAGCATGCATTCTGATAATTGATATTTGATAAACGAATTCCATTAGAAGAAATAAATTACATAAATTGATAGATGTATTACACATTTACAAACTTATCTTGAATTTCTTAAAGTAATGTTAGTTGAATAGGATTTAATCGTATTATGTAAAAATAACATTTTCCCATTTTAGATCCATTCGAAGCTCCGCGGATTATCGGCTATGACTCTAAGAATTCTCTAACGGGAGGAGTAGAGGAGAAGATTAGGTGTACTTCACAGGGCGGGAACCCCCTGGCTACACTTCAATGGTTTCATAGAGATACAGAGATACCTAGTGAATACATTCCAGGAGACAACCATGCAACGGCCGTACTCGTCCTTAACCCAAACATTACTGATAACGGCGCCGTGTACCGATGTGTCGCTAGTAGTCGGGCCGTGGCTAAGCCGGTCGAAACGACCGTTCGATTTGCCGTGAAGTACGCTCCTAGCGCTGTGAAAATCCAGATACTTCCAGATAGGTTACACCAGGGTACTGAGGCTACACTAGAGTGTGAGAGTGGTGAATCAAACCCTCCCTCTACCCTAGTCTGGATACATAACGGAGTACCACTCAGCGGTCAGCTGTTCACCCAGCAGGGCAGCTACGGGGGTAAGATCAGCAAGAACGTTCTTAAGTTCAAGGTGAAGACAGAGGAAAACGGGTCGGTGTTCACCTGCAAGGCGGAGAACGAGGTGGGGGAGGCCATAGATGCAGTCACCATGTCTATAGCATGTAAGTTTTTCCTAAATCACAAAATCTATGATTCGTCCAAAACTTTGATTCTGTTAAATTTGAAATATTGACCATCAGGTTTTAAAGATAAAGGAATTGGAAGATTTCATAAAGTTTAAGACTTTTAAATATGCTTGTCCACAAAAGTAAAAAAATAACGTTTTACAATTAAAAAAAAATCGAAATTCAATTCCTTATAAAAAAAATGAAGGCTCGTAATTCTACATTTACTCTGCATTTACATCATGATTGTCCTAAATGCAATATTACATTTTTAAAATTGAAATCGTACCTTTTTTCTATCTCAACCTAAATTCATAATTATTTTTACTTTTTGTTCTATTTTATTTCATTCTATTCTATTCTATTGAATCCTTTTCTATTCTATTTCACGGTTGTTGTTCCCCATGTTTGGTCTATTAGAGCATTCATATCGTATTCAAGTCAGGTTTAGCCAATATCATCTCTCCGACAGTGTGCTCCGTACCTACAGGATGTCCAAAAATATCAATATTTCTACAGGATTTCCAAAAAAATATTAATATTTCCATAGGGTTTCCGCAGCATTTTAGTCTAATTGTTTGGTGTCAAATTTTATTTTTCTTTTTTGAATTTTTTTTGACACCCATCAGTTATTCACTGTGGAAGGGTTGGGGGTAGCGGTAAGAGGGGTTATAAATAAAGATTCCTGTAGGAGGGGGAGAGGGTGAACCTTACATCAATAACAATGCATATATTATTAATGTGAAGAGTTGATACAATTCTCTTTGGTCCATTACAAACAGTGGCTTGGCACAAGTTTCACAATTTATTAATTCATTCATTCATTCAGTCATTCCACATGGATTTAACGGTTCTGTCAATATTCAAGAAAGCGTTTACTTTCGAGAACAATTTGGCCAAATAAACATAATTTTTTAGCCTTTTTCTTCAATAAGTATTTTGCATGTAAGATGCAAATCTTATGTTTTCTATTATAACTTCTGTTTAGAAAGAGATATTGAGAAGAACAAAATGTTTTGAATTTCTAATATTTTACAGGATAAGTTTGCATTTGTAATACTTGAACGAAAAATCAAAATTAGAGGAGCTACTAGGTCACAAAGTTGTACCAGTGTGATTGTAATTTACTCTCTTCCGCTGCATCGCCTCCACTTTCTTTCTCTCCGAACTAAAAAATGTAGAAATGATAAAATAAACATGCTCGTGACAGTAAAATGTCCGACTACATGTCCCAGAAATATCCCAATGTGCTTGGCTCGGCTCACCAAGGAATTTATTGACGATATTAAAACAAGTAATTATTTTCATTGCTTGGATAAATTAAAAAGCCCAAGGGAACAGAATAATTACAAAAGTTTCTTCTCTTAAAATGTTGAATTTCTCCCCGTCACTTTTATTAATTTTTCTAGCTTACTCTTAGTTGTAATCAGTGCTTAGTATCCTTAGGATCTATTTAATTTTGATGCAGATCTGGATCCGGATCCTGGATTTTCACTGGAAAAAAAATTGATCCGGATCCAGGTTATTTCCATAAAATTTACTGAATTTTTTAATTTTTTGTCTTATTATTATTGCTTATTTTTATGCTAAAACTTAATGAACTATTCCGTGGTTCCGCATAATTTTGCGTATCCGGATCCAGGAAGCCAAAATCTTGCGGATCCCCGGATCCGGATTTAAAGCACTGGTTGTAATTTTTAAAAGTTTTTGTTTAATACATCGTTTCATTCAATCTTGTAAAGTAGAAATATTTTGAATGATTTATGGTTGAATTCAAATATTATGATTGAATCACAGACAAAAAGAAATAATAAGAATGAGACTTGGCTCAATACACAGATGTTTAATTTATTAGCGACTTTCACTGAATCCTCCGTAAATTTGAATGCTCTCTGAGGTCTGGTTTAAAGAATCAAATGCATTGAATTGAATAAATAAAATAAATTGAAGAGAAAGATCAAATCAAAATATGAAATAATTGACATGTTTGAAACAACAGTTAACGTGGTATTTGCTAAATAGCAAATCAATTTTAATATGGTTTCGAAATTAGGGTGCTTCGCGTTCCTATTTTGTTACACATTGCAATGTTTTTAACCTTTTGATTCTTTTTTAAAGCGCGTGGAAAGCTAAACTTTTATTACCTTTAATAAAAAGGAATGTAATGAACGTATCGGGGTTAAGAATGGACGGGGTGGATCGAATATGGATGGATTGAATAGAAATGGATTGGATGGATCGAATAGAAATGGATTGGATAGATGAAGCTAAAATGTATTACAGTATTGGGAAAATACATAATTTGTCTTCGCTCTTTCTCTTTACAGCCAATCCTACATCAAGTGTAAAGCAGTGTATCTTGGAATAATTCAGAATAAAAAAAAAATTAAAATATCTAAACATTTTTACAGCAAAACTTAGCCTTTTTTTCACCGGCCTTTAACTGTATTTGAAAAAGAGGAAACTGAATGTTTTAACTAATATAACTTTATAACTTTATAAGTTAACATGAAGTTAGAGTCTGATGTCGGCGTTTATATCAATACAAGGAAGACAACAATTATTTTTTCCCAATTACAAGTTGCAAAAAAAAGCTTTTAATTGAGAGTGTCTCTTTATTTCCATATTTATGTGAATCCAATAGACGTGCTGTTTCTAAAATTAAATATAAAGTCGTCTTCAAAGTATTGATATATACGATTACGACGGTCATTTTTTTCTATTTGTGAAATCTCAAGAGAAATACAATTCCTCTCTCAAGAAGAATACAATTCCTCTCCCAAGAGAAATACAATTCCTCTCTCAAGAAGAATACAATTCCTCTCCCAAGAGAAATACAATTCCTCTCTCAAGAGGAATACAATTCCTCTCTCAAGAAGAATACAATTCCTCTCTCAAGAGGAATACAATTCCTTTCTCAAGAAGAATACAATTCATCTCTCAAGAGAAATACAATTCCTCTCCCAAGAGAAATACAATTCCTCTCTCAAGACTCAGGTCAAGAGAAATACAATTCCTCTCTCAAGAGAAATACAATTACTCTCTCAAGAAGAATACAATTCCTCTCTCAAGAGGAATACAATTTCTTTTTCAAGAGGAATACAATTCCTCTTGAGAGAGGAATACAATTTCTCTCTCTCGAGAATTACAATTTCTCTCTCAAGAGGAATACAATTCCTCTAAGTGTGTGTCTACTTAGACTGTACACAGACGAACATAAAAGGTTAAATTAAAGAAATACTAAGAGGGAAATTATAAATATTACAAATCTTTTCTGTAATATAGAATGCTATGAACAAATTATTTAACATTTAATGTCTTTAATTTTTGAACCTGTTTTTACAGTTGTTTACTTTCAGATAAACCGGTTTTTAAAATTTTTTTTTTTAAGAAACCGGTTTTTATTGTTGTTTACTTTTAGATAAACTAGTTTTTATAGTTGTTTACTTTCAGAGAAAACCTATTTTGCAATTGTTTATTTTTAGCTAAAACCGGCTTTATTTTTGTTTACTTTTAGATAAACCTGTTTTTCCTGTGCTCTCTGGACCTGTCGAGGTGAAGGAAGGAGAGGAATTAATATTAAATATGACAGCTCATGGGAACCCTCAGAACATGGAGTATAGGTAATGTTCGTTTTGGTTTCATTTTAAAAACATTTATTAAACCTTTTTTGCATTTACTTTCTAAGGTCAACATTTAGTAAAGTTTAGGAAAAATACAATTTTAAAATTATGAAATCTTCTCAGATTTTAAGAGTTCCAAGTATAAGCTCGACACATCTCAATTATGATTTTTTAATTTAGTATTTTTCGAGAAATGTTTTGCTTGGCTTTAGGTTTTTTTTATAATTGTGATATTTACTGAGTTTTTGCGAGGATTGACTTTTTAGATACACCATAATCAAGTTTTTTGAATTAGGTAATTCGGGTTAAACAAATTTTAACCAATTTAAACTTAGTTCTAATTTTTGATTCCATCTATCTGTATACAAACTGATAAAATTTAGATTTTCATTTATACAATTTACATCAACACAATCAAAATTTGACTTTTATTTTTGTTCAGTCTTGTACACAATACTAATTTTATTTTGTACAGTATTGTAAAAATAAGATTTAAAATTTTGTTAATTTGAAGGTGGAGTAGTCCTACAGGGGAACTCCTGTCCCAGGAGTCTAAGGATGGAGTACGGGTTGAAGGAGGTGTCTTGAATATATCCCGTGTCCTGAAGGAGTTTGCTGGCACCTATAAGGTGTCCGTCAATAACTCGGAAGGAGTGGCAAATACTAGCTTTAAACTTGATATCCTTTATTCACCAAGGTTAGTCATATTTTTCTATCTGAATATACAGAGATAACTAGAAAACTTTATTATGAGTGCAAACAGACCCATTTCCCCTAATTAGTGATTTTAAATGTATCTAGTGAAAGTATTTGCCTTGTAACAACATCAAATATACTTAAATACTGCTGTATTGTCGTCTTCTCATTCCATTGATTTCTGGTTATCACTGTAAATATATATATCCGGATTTTTTGGGACAGTTAAGCACATGACTTGTATGATTTATAAATAACCCAGTTTGTTTTGACATAAATTTACCCTGTTTAAGATGTTAAATGATATAATATGTTGACACCGCTATTAGCTAAAGATTACACAGGTTTAAAAGATTAGCACTAGATAAAAAACGTGTCACGTATATATATAAATCAGTATACAGGTTTTTCTCACTTAGAGCAATAAAATGACTCACTTTCTGACCAATCAATGATTTTTATTCCCTCTGAAAATAAAAATGAGAATTCCTAATCCCTTTCAGGGATTTCTGGTATATTTAATGCTGATTTGGTGTGTACTTCAGAATTGGAATTCTATAAGAAGTCTTATCACAGTCTGCCATTTTAGTTACAAAGTTTTAGAATGCTCTTTTTATATACAGGGCGTGTGCATAAATTGTCTCATTTTAGTATTTTTACAAGGTGTCCCAATAAACTTATTTTAGCAACATTTATTTGTACAGTTTTGTTGTTGATAAAACTTCGTTTGTTGTATTTAAGTTGAGACAGTTTAGAAGTTTAAAATAGTTTCACCCCTTTTCACCCCCTTTCGTTCCTTTTGAATCATTTCTCTCAATGACATATTTGACTTTAGTTCAATCTTATTTATTTGCTAAAATAAGGTCAATTAAACTTAGTTTGAAGGCTCAAGTACGACTCGATATATTCCTTGCTATTAGTTCGGGAGTGGTTTATAGTTTCTACCATAAGAGTATACGCCATATGTTTTCTCTTATTAACAGCATACCCAAGAAGATCAAAGCAATCACTGATTGCATATCATTCAGCCTTTTATATACCCTACACAAAACAATGAGCTAAAAAAGTGATGGGGAGAAGGGAGGGGGCATAAAAGGCGTGAGTGTGTTTATATTGATTAAACTGCCCAGTTTTTCTATGTTGAGAAGATACCTTAATACAATACACAATATAGATATTTTATCCTCTAATTGTATTACTACAGCCACAATAAATACAATAGTTTATTATTATTATATATACCATGCTGTATTTATGTATTACATTGAACATTAAACAATATCTATGTAAATGTATAANCCCTCTACACAACCAAAACTTTTCTAAAACTGTGAAACATGTTCTGACACCCTGTCACTGTGAAGACAGGTTAAGTCATGTCCAAAGTGTCCCAAAAAAGTGCTGAAAAATAAAAATTGAATGAAAATATCGAATTCTTGGTACAAAATCAAATTTTAACTTCCTATATCTTTGAAATCTAATGCTGTAATGTTTGATATTTTAAACTTAGAATATTTGATTGATCAAATTTTTAGTTTGAAAAATCAAAGGTCTTTAACATTGGGTTGCAAAAATATAGGAATTAGAAAATCAGATTCAGATTAAATTCCTTTAAAAATTATGGATATATTAGATCAACAATTACTGGTCAGAAAAAAACATTTAAGGGTTCATATTTCTTTGGTTACTCTATGTATAACTATATAATATATCTACCATAGTAAATAGGAATATATTGTCTTAAGTGAGATTTAGTAATCCCTCCAGCTCAGTGCTCCAGTACTAATATAGAACCTTGGTTTTAGGATTACTTCTCTCACTGAATACGTAATGGTGGAGGAAGGAGATACGGCTGTATTTGAATGTCTCTTTCATGCTAATCCGCTGACACTGGATGGTATAGTCTGGAGAAGGGAGGAGGGAGAGGGATGGAAGACCCTGAGACGGGGAGAGGATACACCCACCAGCTCAGCATCATGGGAGGAGATAGGTGGGAACAGTATCAACTCCAGGCTAGTGCTCAGGAATGTTTCGGAGAAGGATATCGGGAGGTTTCTCTGTGCAGTGGATAATGGGGTTGGAGAAGAGACAGTTAAGGAGACATATCTTCTAGTTTCAAGTAAGTATTATCTTAAAATCAAACAAAATATCTTACACTGGTCGTCGACCGACGTTTATATTATATCAATACAATTATTAATGATGCTTTAATCCCTGAAAGCGTTTATTAAATTGCAAGTTTATATGTAAACAAAGAGAAGCTGTTAGTTGTGCTACTTCCCTGCCATAGATGAATAAATAAACATTATAGATAGCTTATGTACGCAAAATCACCCAAACATCTCTGTACATACCTGTTAAATTGAGAAATGTCGTAATATGTGCAATCTATCTTTATCTATGGTCTCTGCTGTTTAAAATCTTGGTAGAAATCAAAATTAGAATAGAAAGTTGTCATCATCATATTGATATATACGACAACGACTTTACCAAATAATATTGAAGAAATAGTTCACACAATTTATTGTCTAGGTAAGCCCCGGATGGTTGTCTCTAAGCATCTGTCTAAGTCAGCAGCTGGTAACCGTGAGACCGGTGAACTGCGCTGCCGAGCTGAGGGAGCTCCCAACATAACATTTACCTGGAGGCGTACCAAGGGAGAGCTAGCTGCCGGCAATAAATATGAGGTTTTCAACACTAGAATCAATCCTTTAGTCTGGGAATCCATCTTCCATGTGAGGGATGTTAACCCCGCCGATTATGGAGTTTATGAATGTATCGCTAGGAACAGGAACGGGGTCTCAAAGACTCAAATTGTGCTCCAGGAACCCACTGTTCCGGATAAACCGGATCAGTTCCGTGTTCTAAATGTTACCGGAGACTCTGTGATTTTAGCCTGGGAGCCAGGGTTTGACGGGGGTAGAGAGCAGATATACAGGATTCAATACCACAGGAGGAACCCTGGGAGTATGTACAAGCAACCAAGTTACTATGATGTATACCCGATGAACTCTACCTCTGTTCTGATCTCCGGGTTGACCAGCTCCAGTCTATACGCCTTCTCCATCCAGTCTCTTAATGACCTCGGAGAGTCAAGCTATACCAAGGATATTGAGGCCAAAACTTTATCTGACACGTCCCAGACATCTAACCAACCTTTAGTTGATGGTCTTACTGACACCACCAGTCAAAATATCCCAGTGATCATAACCATAACTGTAGCTGTTTGTGGTACACTCCTACTCCTCCTAGCAGTTGTACTCATCACATGCCTAGTACACAAAAGAAAGATGAAGAAGAGTACAGCAAGCAGGTCCTCCAGTTCAAACAGTACAAAGTCAGCAGCTCAGGACGGGTTGTTTAATGGAAGCCAGGGAACATCTTGTTACAATGATACTATGTCAGAAGAAACAATGAGTTCTATCTCGGAGAAAAGTGGAAGCTATATAGCACCCATTGATGGACGACTTTCTGGACTTCCATACTTGATGGTGAGTACCGTACTTTATATTAAAGGGACTGATTCACAAGGTTACCAAGTCAAGTATGAATTAGATATCAATGGTTTTGATGCTTGTAAACTGATTATTTTCATTTGTGGTTTTTCACAAAAGTAACTTGCAAAATTCTAGAGCAGGAAAATATATTGAAATTTTTTTTGTTTTTAATCTTTGTGAAGAAACAATCTCAAGAACTGACGAGGGTCAACCCAGACCGAAATATATTTTCAATAAATGTGGAACTAACATCTACTTTTTTACTCTACAGAGGTTTGGTCCATCACCATCACTGAATTTCAAATTGAAATTTAACACTTTTAAACCTAGGAAAACGACAATATCTTCCACAGTAATGATCAGATAAAGATTTCAAGGACGATTGTTGCATTGAGGGTCTGCACTTTAAATTACGCTTACAGTCCCTTTAAATTCCCATTTAGATATAAAACTGGAAAGAAAATTTCAAATAATGGTTTTGATCTGAATAAGTAATTCTTTTTGTTTAAACTTTATTCGATTTCCGAATCCCCCATTTTATCTGGTTATCTGATTTTAAATATATTCTAGCCGAGTGAAGGATACAGACCTCATGCTGCCAGCACCTATCTCACAGACCAGGTGGGCGGTATCTACTCCGTGGACCAGGGGAGAGAGATAGGGTTTACGTCCTCCAACCTACCCCTCAACATGGCCAAGACACAGTTCACTGAGGATACAGAGTCACAGTATGCAGATGAACTCAGGAGACAGGCATATATTCAAACATTAGGTGAGTTAAATACAAAAATTCTCCATTTTAATATTTTCTTCATGAAAGAATTACTAAGCTCTCAAAATTATTCCTCAGTCTAATATTTCAAGTTTTTTCTACAAAATCTAAATTATAAACTTTTCCTGTGTATCTTTTTAAATTCGACCCTTTTATCATACAAATCAAATGCCGAATTTAACATAAAGCTCTCATGTGTTTTTTTAAATTTAATAATCTTAATCAATTTTAACCTAATTAACAAGCTAATATAGTGAATACACCTTTACAGTTCATACAAAACAAACTTTACATTCTCTTTGGTTGAACTGTACCCTCGGGGGTAACTTTATATAATCCCTTCAAATCCTTATTAAATTCATCAACTTTAACTACTGCTCCTTTCATCTTACTTTANAGGGAATTGGCAAGCTTAACTTTCAATAAATTTGATTAATTTACCAAGCAGCCAAACCGGATCTGATTCAGGTTAAAGGTAAACAAACCAAACCAAACCAAACAAGTCTACAAACAAATAAACAAATAGATAAACGATCAATCAGCTATTTACAGAACTACTGTCAACTCCGGAAATTTTTCTTTTTCTTTTCTTTTCTCCAATACAATTTGTTGGTTAATGTTGTTAGATTTATATTATAACTGTATATGATACCCTTATTATACAAAATTACATATTTTGCATAAATATCGGCAAATGCATAAACTGTTATTGCATATTGCAATATTTGTTATGAAACAAACTGCTTTCTGCAGATTTTAAATTTGCAAGTAAAATTGGAATTTTTTTAGAATTTTCTGCATTTTCATCTCCTCCCCCCATTTCCGTATTTGTCTCTGCAACAACATAGAAGGTCTAAATTAAAAAACAGACAATTTCTTTATTCTTCTAATATTTTTTTCCCCCCGGGACACCCTGTTTTAACCCCCATGGTAGTCAATATATCACCCTGAAACCAACCTTACACTTTCATTCTCTTCTTTAGATCTATTTTTAACCTTAGATATAAAATATATACAAATCTATATATATATATATATATATATATAAAATATATACTAGATAGATTGTCCGGCGTTGCCCGTGGACTTTTAAAAACACTTTAGATAAATTTTGAATAATTTTAAAGAAGAAAAACTGAATTCAAAAATGTCAGCCAATTTTGTCCAGCCGTAATTGGCAAGCTATAGCTATTCAAATATATATATAACCACATGAGCGAAGAGCTTTATTATAAAAATATGATTATTCTTTTTTTAACAAATTTTGATGATCTATTTCTAGATTTTTAGAATTAAGCACATCTAAGTTATTTCTCTAAATACTCTGGTTCAATTGACAGCTTTCTTATTTATTGATTTGAAAGATAATTTTTCCGTTTTATATCAAATAGCATCTAAAAAGTAGTTAAACCTGTATCTTGAAAATACTAATTTATTTATCTGTCATCAATCTTTATTCTGTCTGGTTGTTTTATCAGTTTTACAGAATGACCTCGTGTTTTTACTTAATCATCCGCCATGTTGGATTCCCGCCATTTTCTTGCCAAATCCTTCTGTTCTTTTCCCGCCAATTAATTAATTAATTGTTTGTTCAGGAGACGGGTACAATATATCACAGATCGGATCCTCCATCAGTTACCCAAACTCACCGATCGCGGATTACTTCCCGAGCGATCTCATGGAGTCTGATCTTCAAGAAATTGATCGACTACGTCTTGATCATCAATCTCTTCATCCTATCAACAACTTTCCGACTGGTTCCGTCACACTCGGCCGGAACTCTGGACGATTCGGCTCAAGGAAAAGTTCTTTTACACCGGTGAAACCGTCCAGCGGTGGTGGCAGGGGCGGACCCCTTTCCACTCCCCCAGCTTGCAGCACTCCGCAGAACCATTTCCCTATTCTCTCCGGTCTCAATTCTCCTAACAGAAATCTTCCGGAATTTTCAACTTTCGGCACTTATGGAGTGCAGGGCGGCCATCTTCCCCAGTTACGTGAGGAAATCCACGAACCAAACGGCCATCTTGTTTAGTGTACACAAAATCATGACTATTAAAAACCTCGCCATGGTTTGGTGATTAAAACGCCTAGCTAAAACAATATTAGTTGTATTCAATTATTGAAGTTATAAAAAAGTGATTTAATGCGTTAACTTTGTTGTACATGATTTAGCATAATTTAGCAAATATTCGTTTTTAATGTCTTTGAAGCTGTACAGTGTACATTGTACTGTGTACAGTGTATTATTACAAGACTTAAATTGATTACAGCCAAAGATGATTTAATTGGTCCTATGAAATACCAATAAAATCTTTTTTACTACCAACATTTAAACTGTAATAATCTTACAGTGAGTTGCAAAATTAAATTATAGTGAAAAAGATAGAAAGTTAGTAAAATGTTTCAAACTGTGATAATTGTTTTAAATGTTTTAATGATAATAATAAATTTTTGAAAGTTTGTTTTCAATGATTAATTATTAATTTTATTTTTAATTATATTAATTTTGATATTGGCCATACAAACTAATTTACTGGAATGAATCTGTTCACACTGCACAATGGTTGTGTCTATGTAGTATTTGGTATTAATTAGAATTTTCTTTTCGTATTTAAACCACAAACGTATGTATATACAGAGAGAACAAGAAAACTCTGGAATAAGAAGACGACTTTAAACGCAAGTTATGACTTTAATAGTCCCATGAACATGAGACACATTAATTGTGCAGTGTTACCAGATCCAATACACTAGAAAAGTGAGTTAATAAGTCTATAGTAAAAATGTTCCCTTTGTAACTACATGAAATGCACTTCAGTTTCGCTGTAAAGTCGTCTTCCCATTTCACAGTTTTCTGAATCTTACTGTATATAATACTTTAGTTGGGCCTTAAAGTCTATCAAATGAAAGACTACTTTAAAGTAATTTTGTGTCTTTTAGATGTCGTTGTATATGGCAGATAGCTTTAGCATTAGCTGACAAAAAACTGCTTAATTGGAATTGGTCTATTTACACTGCGCACTTGATGTGTTTTATGTTCATTGGATGTTTAAAATCATACCTTGAGTCTATAAGTCGTCTTCATATTCCACAGTTTTTTGGATTCTACTGTATTTATGAAAAGTTTAAAATGCATAATAAAGTTTTTTATATGCATGAAATGGCTACACTTCACACACAGTACACTTACAACTGACTGGATGATTTAGCATGACGGTACAAATTTTACTCATATCTTTTTCCATGAAATATACCTATGGATAGATAGATAGATGGTATAGGTATAGATGGATGTTACAGATATATACATGGATAGATAGATAGATGGTACAGATATACCTATCTAGAGATGTTATCCCCTAACTGACAAAAAGAAACTGGAAGAAAAGAAGGGAGGTATAGACGATGAGTAAGGGAGGTGACAAAAAGAAACTGGAAGAAAAGAAGGGAGGTATAGACGATGAGTAAGGGAGGTGGCTTAAAGAAACTGGAAGAAAGGAAGGGAGGTATAAACTATGAGTAAGGGGGGTGGTATAAAGAAACTGGAAGAAAGGAAGGGAGGTATAAACGATGAGTAAGGGAGGTGGCTTAAAGAAACTGGAAGAAAGGAAGGGAGGTATAGACGATGAGTAAGGGGGGTGGTATAAAGAAATTGGAAGAAAGGAAGGGAGGTATAAACGATGAGTAAGGGAGGTAACATAAAGAAACTGGAAAAAAGGAAGGGAGGTATAAACGATGAGTAAGGGGGGTGGTATAAAGAAACTGGAAGAAAGGAAGGGAGGTATAAACGATGAGTAAGGGGGGTGGTATAAAGAAACTGGAAGAAAGGAAGGGAGGTATAAACGATGAGTAATGGGGGTGGTATAAAGAAACTGGAAGAAAGGAAGGGAGGTATAAACGATGAGTAAGGGGGTTGGTATAAAGAAACTGGAAGAAAGGAAGGGAGGTATAAACGATGAGTAAGGTGGGTGACAAGAAACTGGAAGAAAGGAAGGGAGGTATAAACGATGAGTAAGGGGGTGACATAAAGAAACTGGAAGCGGGGTTATGGAAGAAACTTCAAAATGATCTTTTTCTTAATTTTCAAAAAAAGTTTAAAATATTGTTTCTTTTTAAAATATATTGTTTCTGCCGGGTCAGGAAAATATTATCTGATCTTTGCGCTTCTTCCTTTCCAACTGATTTAAATCTTTTTACTTTTTATTCTTCTTTTGAACAGTATCTCTGGTTATGGCCGGAGATATCTGTGGAGATCTGTCTATCTGGCATTTGTCTATTTGTCTATTGTCTATTTTCTATTTGTCTTTCTAACTATCTGTTACCTGTCAGTCTATTATATCTGTGTTGAGATGGATGTATACATTTGTTTCTGTCCTAAAAAGAGGTGTTTTCCAGTGTTTGGTTTTTAAATTGTCCATTTATTATATTGTCTTTTTATCTGTGCGTCTGTGAATGTCATATCGATCCGTGTGTTTGTGATTTGTCTGTCCATCTTTCTATCTGTTATTTGTCTGTCCATCTTTCTATCTGTTATTTGTCTGTCCATCTTTCTATCTGTTATTTATCTGTCCATCTTTCTATCTGTTATTTGTCTGTCTATCTGTCTGTCTGTAATTTGTCTATCTATCTGTCTGTCTGTTATTTGTCTGTCCATCCTTCTGTCTGTGATTTGTCTTTCCATCTGTCTGTCTGGGATTTGTCTGTTCATCTTTCTGTCTGTTATTTGTCTGTCCATTTGTCTGTCTGTGATTTGTCTGTCCATCTGTCTATCTGTGATTTTTCTTTTCATCTGTCTGTCTGTGATTTTTCTTTCCATCTGTCTGTCTTTGATTTGTCTTTTCATCTGTCAGTCTGTTATTTGTCTGTCCATCTGTCTGTTTGTGATTTGTCTGTCCATCTTTCTGTCTGTGATTTGTCTTTCCATCTGTCTGTCTGTGATTTATTTGTCTGTCCATCTGTCTGTCTGTGATTTGTCTTTCCATATGTCTGTCTGTTATTTTTCTGTCTATTTGTCTGTCTGTGATTTGTCTGTCCATCTGCCTTCTGTGATTTGTCTGTCCATTTGTCTGTCTGTGATTTGTCTGACTGTCGTTTTGTCAGTTTATATTAATAATTCAAAACAAGTCAGAGTTAGAGAAGAGAGTTCTGTAACAAATTTGAAATATATTAGAATTCAAGGAAATACAAATTTTCCTTTTTCTATCTTTAAATCTTTCTATCTTTCTATCTTTCTATCTTTCTATCTTTCTATCTTTCTATCTTTCTATCATTCTATCCTTCTATCTTTCTATCTTTCTATCTTTCTTTTTTCTTTCTTTCTATCTTTCTATCTTTCTATCTTTCTATCTTTCTATCTTTCTATCTTTCTATCTTTCTATCTTTCTATCTTTCTATCTTTCTATCGTTCTATCATTCTATCTTTCTATCTCTCTGTCTTTCTATCTTATATCTTATTATTTATATCTTATATCTTATAAATATTAAATAACGAACATAACGTTAAAAATGACTTTCGAATTGTTAGAATCTATTAAATTAGTTTTAGTAAAACTAATGATTACAAATAATTAAATAATATTTACTGCGAAAAAATATGAAAGGAAAGATTGCACACTGAAATTTGCAAAAGAAGTTTTTAGTAGATTTCTTAAAACAGGAAATTCTTAACATGAAATTAATGATTTTAATATAAAAATTATTATTTAGGAATGTTTTCAAAGTATCTAACTGATTTAGATTTTAAACTTTAAATTTGAAAATTCACAGGAGTAGACATTCAGGTTGCAAAGATAAAGGGATACAAAAATTATAGTTTGTGGCAAGTGTTTTGTTTCTTTTCATTGAATTTTCCCTATTATGAAAGATTTGTCCCATCCAACTGATATATGATCCCATGATCCCAATACAATAGAACTAAAGGATTCTGAAAGATTTGCAATATATATAAATATATTTTATTTCTATATATTGATATATTTTATCAACGTTGTATATTGGATCAAGATATAATAAAGTATATAAAAGCTACTTATAGGGCTCTAAAATGTTTTACGACAGACTTCTATTTTGATGTAAATTTTTCAGATCAAATATTTTATACAACAAACATTATATATTTGATTTTCAATACATGAAGTCCGTCATATTCCTCAGAGGAAGGAATTGAGTCTTTGCCACAAGCTTTGATGTTCTAATTCCTATATCTTTGCAACCCCTAATGTTGTAGACCTTAGTTATTTCAAACTATGAATTCTATTTTATTAGATCAAATGATCTATGTTGAAATATCAAAATTTTACAAAACCATGTTGTAAAAATATAGGGATTAGTAAATTTAAGTTTGTGGCTAAAACTCAATTACTTTGGTCAAACTGGTATGTACTGTACAGAAGGTAATTGTACGGCATGTACAATGAAAGTCTATATTTAATAAGGTCAAGTCGCAAACTGGTATATACTGTACAGAAGGTAATTGTACGGCATGTACAATGAAAGTATATATTTAATAAGGTCAAGTCACAAACTAAACTAGACTAATCACCAGGAAAAGGTCAAATTTATACCTCGTACCTCCTCTTATATTGATTCTAACCCAGAGGTTTGACAAAAGAAAATTTATCCATTTTACATATTAAAAATTTAAAACATTTTTGTTCTTCTCAATAGCTGTTGAATAAAAGAGGATATATGGTTAAACACAAATAAGATTTCAATTATACGCACAATAGGCTTTAGTTGGACATGGTCGGGTACGGGCAGCCGTAGTACATTTGAATTTCCGAGCCGGGTCAACCTGTCCGGTCCCAGTTTGTACTGGACATTGGGTGAATAAAGCAGACACTCAATAGGACTAGCCGGTGCAACAAGGTGGACGCGGTCAGACTTTAGGTTTAATTTACTTTTACTCCAAGACACGCCAAATGCTCACAACAAACGAAAAAAAAGGAACGCGCCCATCTCTAGCTCTCTAGCTCCCTATCCGTGGAAAACATGATGAGAAAGCTCTCCTGTAAACAGCAAACACAGTTTTTAGAAAACATGTTTCTCACAAGAACAGTTTTTTAACTGTTAAACTTCTATCTATCTATTTGTCTCTCTATCTATATCTATATATATATTATCTATATATCTATATCTATATATATATCATCTATCTTTATAACTATCTACCTATCTATATATCTATCAATCTTTCTATCTATATGACTATCCATCTATCATCTATTTATCTATATAACTATTAATCTATCTATCTATCTATCTATTTATCTATCTATTTATCTATCTATTTCTCTATATATATCTCTATATGTATCTATACATATATCATCTATCTAATTAATTATCTATCTATTTATCTATCAATCATTTAATTATTCAATCTATCTATCTTATTTTTATATTCCAATTTATTATATTTCCTTTTACAAAATGTTGGATCTGTTGACTTATACAACGCTAAACATCAACTACTCCTGTGTCAGTAAGATGAGTTAGTTCCCAATTTCTCCGCTAGGTGTCTCATGTTTCAATTTTCTCTCATTAATCTAACTGGACTTGTAACATATTTGTAGGAAATAATGAAAAGCATAGGTGTGATATCTATATCTATTAAAAACATACATCCAGCCCATAGTGATAAAGTATAGTTGTGATATCCATGTCTATTTAAACATACATCTAGCCCATAGTGATAAAGAATTATTGTAGGCTCATTTGAATTTAAGTTTTAAAAGATAAACATATTAATGAAAAATTTATTATTTTCTCGGTACTTGATATTTTGATCAGTTTTGAAGCTCTGTAAACACCGCATATTGTTATAAAAGTGAAATCATGGTAGGAATATTCACATTATAGCATCAAAAGCTATGTTTATATCTATTAAGCTTCAAAATTCACAAACCTACATAGCAGTTTAATAAATAATTAATCAATTAAGAGTTTAAAATTCACAACAATACCCTGCAAAGTTTTGTCTGATCAAGTATTGCATTAAGCAATCATGTTTCCCATTTTGATTAAATTTATAAACATCAATAACGATATAAATTAATAAAAGTTTTGTCTGATCAAGTATTGCATAAAACAATCATGATTCCCATTTTGATTAAATTTATAAACATCAATATAACGACATAAATTAATACAAGTTTTGCAATAAAACTCTAACTTTCCTCTTGATTAAATTCTTTTGAAATATATTAAATTTCGTATAATGAGTACACCCTGCTCAACATACAAAAACAGTTCCGAAAAACATAAAAAAATTTTAAAAAACTTGTTTTTATTTGGTTAACAAGAAGCAAAATTTTGTGCAAGTATTTATTTTTCATCAAAAAAGTATATTTTGTCAAAATATGTTTTTCGAAGAAATTAATTATTGAATCGAAAAGCAATTAGAAATATTAAAACACCAATATTAACATTTTTAAATTCACGAAACCCACA